TCGGGATAAAGAGACGGTCGACGACCCCGGTTAAATGGATGGAATAACGAAAGGCAAAGAAAGAAAGAAAAGAAAGAGAGAAAAAAAGAAAGAACAGAGAGAAAGACAACAACAGAAATAACAAATAACGGCAGATAGACAGGTCCCCCCTCCAACGCTCCAGTCTACCCGAACAACACGAAGTATGGGCCACTACTAACGCGACACCAAACAGATACTTGCCAACTTCCGACGACACAACATCACTTCGGGGGCACTGCGAGGTGCGGCAGGAGAAACTTGAGCGCTGTACTGCTTTAGCAGTCTAGGTATGCTGCATGCATATCGTATAAAATGTACAATAGTTTCATTTGCAAATTCCCTATCTTCCGTTGCAGCCTCAACCTTACCCAACCCCCCTCACCTTCGGTAGCCATGGCAATCCCTGTTCGCCAATCCGAATCACCACAGCAAATGTGGGTGTGGGGGCGCTGGGCGCTGGGCGCTGGTGAGTAGCAGACGGCGGAACCCTTTTTAAATACCGGTTCGCGACCGGAAGAACTAGTTCCGTCGGTGAACTGGTTCCATCGGTCCAGGCTCGCCATCGCTCATCGCTCATCGCTCATCGCTCATCGCTCATCGCTCATCGCTCACGGTTATCGCCGATTCGTTCGCTGTCTCTCTGCCTCGGTGTCTCCCGCCTCCCGTCTATCGGATGTTATATGTATCACCCAGCTGATACCATCAGTCGGCTAACGGCGTGGCGTGGCTGCGGTACACCGCGGCCGTATGCTCATTTTTTTCGCCACCTCTCGTCGAGGTTCTAGATAGTCGAGGTACAGGCATGAGCACAAAATTTACGCTCCTGATCCGGCCGATCAGCCCGTGGTGAGCTGAGTTGTTGCTATCTTGCCGCCGGTGGGTTGAAAGTAGCCGCCGGGTTCGTCTGCCGTTGCTGGTTCGGCGGCTGCCATAGGTCCGGTGGCGGCAGCAGTCAATCAACAGAGCTACGGGTAACAATTATTTCGAAATTTAGTTGACCACCGTCTGTTCCGTCTGTGTAGCTACTTGTAGACCTCGGGCCGGGACTGCGGTCTTAGGTGCTGCAGCAGCAGTAAAGTCAGTCTCTCTCGCACAGATGGGGGGTGAATTTTGCCACATATGACGCAATACTGGCAGCCAATCTTGAATTTAACCGCTTCGAAAACGACCGAAAGAGTGCCCATCAGACCAGCAGACCCCGTTGAAACAAACCGAGTACCGCAACTCACTGTGTGTTGTCGCTCGGTCCTACCTCCACGACCGTCCCCCGCAGTCTACCTCCACTCACAATTTTAAACCAGGCACAAGGAGCAGGACATGCGTGAGGGCAAGCTCGGATCTACCAATGGGACTGCTGTGCTCTCGAGGGCTGCAACTGCGGTCCGAAAAATGTGCACGGCTGGGTCCAAACCGTCCAAAGTTTTGACTATGGACCCACTTGCCGCCGCAGACCCTATTCTGAGCCCGCCGCAAACCCTATCTGCTGCCGCCGCAGACGGTATCTGCTCAACTGGGGATCTACAGTCTACAGCAATAGTAGTTTCTGCCACAACAAATATTAGACGGACCGCAGTCAGGGAACCAGGGCCCGTGGCGGCGCAAATGTCTGTGTGAAATTCTGACTTGATTCCAGGTTTGCGGAGCTCTGAGCCTGATTGTAAACCCTTAGGGTATGGCTCACGGCCTCGGCGTACCAGTCCGCACGTCGCTGCTCTACGATGTCCCCTACGGATTTTGCCTTTCAGATCGGGGCTCCGGAAGCAAGAGTTGCTCGTGTCCGTTTGTTAGACTCTTCATCGCCTTGGATTTAGAGTAGAGCCGGTTCGCCCTTGTCAGCAGCCCCGGTAAACGGTGAGGTGAAATCCGGACATGCTCATACTGGCTTTGCACGATGCAATGCCATATAGCAGTGGGACATATTTACCGTGAATGGAACTGGCTTGACGTATTACCGTACGACACACTCGGCCAGTTGGGCCAGACACGTTGCGTGGAGCAAAAACGCTTGTTCGACCACAGCAATGGTAGACCGGAAGGACTACCTAACCATCCGCAGACCTGACTTTGTTTCTAGACTACAGTTGTGCGGGTTCTCCATGTTATATGGGAAATTCCTGGGGTTTCTTGAGCTCGTCTCCGTGGGCGTGCCTACGAAGGAAGTGGACTTGCCTCGCTCTGCAACAAACTTGGTCGACGCATTCCATCTTGCTCAGGTGGTCCAAATTTTTCGTTTTTGAAGAGGTTTGTCGACTTTCTCGTGGACTTGAGGGTCGATAGGTAAGGTAGAATGCTCTCTCACACGCGTTCGTTGTGTGTTGTATCAGTAGCCGCAGAATGCACCCGCCTCCCCGCCTACCTTGCCCCTCAATCGTAATAAGGTGTGCAATGTAGGCGTCCTCCTGGGAGACAGCGGAGGCGATACCACAAGTTCTTATGGTCTAGTACATGTTTCCGGTGCGACTATCTTACGCTGGACAGCCTGCTGCTGACGCTATACTGACGTGCACGCTACATCCTTTGCTGGCTGCGTAACCCGGACGGGCATACTTTCAACAAGCTTCTCGATAGTTCCCCAAAAGAAAAGATATAATTTAGAGCAACATCATGTTGTACTTTCAGCCCTCCACCTAGTTCCCCGTAGCCACTTCTTACTGTGGTAGGTGCGGATGCATATACGTACACGGTTTTGGGCGCTGCGCTCCCCCGCTTTATATGAAGCGATTCCAAGGCAGCAATGGTTTCTCTGAAAATGGGTGTAGGATGTTGTTAAAATGAAGGTAGGCACCGATGGCAGTTAAAGTTTCCGTGAAGGTGGAGTTCCCATGATGGAGGTTCGTGTGTGATTTAAGGAGATGTAAAGGTCCATTATTTGTTTCCCATCGCCGTGCCCAGTACCTCTCCATTATCTGATACACATCCAGAGCTCAGAAGTGCAAAAAATAGGCAAAATTGTCGGCTGAACTGCGAATGAAGAAAGGATGCTCGGGCGGGGGAGTCGTCGAAGAGATGGCGGCGAGACATGGAGTCGAAGACTACAGAAGGAGTGCGACGGAGTGGGAGGAGTGGGCCGGGGTAGCCATCGAGAGTGGGGGTAGAAAGGAGTGTATTTTCGTATTTTCCGGACCTTTAGGAGGGAGTATCGGAACCGGAGCACACAACACCGTTGCCAGAGTCGGAACAAACAACAGACCATTCCGACGCGAGAGCGGTGAAGAGAGAAGGCAAAAAGTTAAAGACAACGTGGATACACACACACACACACACACACCGAGAGGAGAGAGAGAGAGAATACGGTACCAAGGTGGTGATAGGAGGTGAGTGCACACCGTGTGAAGGTGTTCGAAGAAAAAAAAAATGTACAGCAGTAGCACACGGAATCGGAACAAACAACAGACCATTACGACGCGAGAGCGGTCAAGAGAGAAAGAAAATGAAAAGAGAATGTGGATAGACAGACCGTCATAGACATGGAGAGACGGAGGAACGGAGGAGAAGGAGGCACACACAGAGAGGGCCGTACTTCGAGTGGAATGCGTGGTATGATGGAACAGAGAGGGGTGACAGCAGCCGGCGAGAGAGATAAACGCGGAAGATAAAAGTGGAAAGTCCACCAAAGTGCCAAATTTCCAGAGGAAACGCTGCTCTGTGAGAGCCCGCAGTACCGCACGGCATCGGCACAAACAACAGACCATTCCGACGCGAGAGCGGTCAAGAGAGAAGGCGAAAATGAAAAGAGAATGTGGATAGACAGACCGTCAGAGACATATAGAGACGGAGGAACGGAGGAGAAGGAGGCATACACAGAGGAGAGGGCCGTACTTCGAGTGGAATGCGTGGTATGATGGTACAGAGCGGGGTGACAGCAGCAGGCGAGAGAGATAAAAGCGGAAGACAAAAGTGGAAAGTCCACCAAAGTGCCAAATTTCCAGAGGAAATGCTGCTCTGTGAGAGCCCGAGAAGACCGGGATAGAGCGCTCACAGAAGCCGAAAGAGGCGAAATGAAGCGTTCTCAGATAAAACTTAAATTGTAAGAAGACTAATTCTGTCGGGCTTTCAATTAGTAGATGTTCGGTGTTGCTGTTGTTGTGCTTGTAAAGAAAGGTGCATTATCCACTCACCTCGAACCTCTCACATGCATGTCTTGTCGAGCTTCTTGCCGTTGCCTGCCCCTCTCAAACCCAGACTTTCCGTGCACGTGAGAGGTGTGCTGGCACTGGTCGATCCTCATGTTGCTTCTACTGCACGTCAAATTGTGTTGCTTGTCGTTCGTGCAGGTGTGGTTCACACGGCATCAGTAACCATAACCCTGGCTCTATGGCCTGCACCTCTTTCTCCAGGAAGTAACGCTCCGTCACTCTTTCTCTACCCGCACCTACCTCCCTGCTCAGCTTCATGTTGATCCGGCGAAGATAAAAGTGGGTGAAGGGGGCATTGCCCGATCTGCATTTGTCGCTTCGGTGACTGTGTGTGTTACTATCCTACGTGGAGAAGGAACACCCCGACGATGCGCGAGGCATCCAGAGGAGAAAAGCTTTGCTCGATATGTTGACAGGATGTGTAGTCCTCCCTACTGGTGGCGCTTGGAAATAAATATGAACAGGCTCCGAATCTCACCCACTCGCGGCGCGTTCACCAGATATGGGCATCTATTTAGTAGCCGATCTGTGGAGTATGGCCGAAGAGCATCTTGCGTGAAATCGGTCATCTTAACCGTGCTCGCTCGCGATTTGCTCCTTCCTATGTACATGGTTGGTAACAGAGCATGCACGTCTCTCCGTTGACATAAAAAATAAGTGCCGCTACACCCTGCGTTTTAAAGCGCATCAGCGATGCAACGTGACCGCGGAGTGTGGTTGCCTTTGGAAGCAGCTGAACAGGAGGTTTTGGGTCCCCCGCAAGAGAACGTTCAGGCCATGAGACTCGGTAAAGTTGTGAACAAAACAAACGGGACTGTCCACAGCCATCAGTTGCATATAGGACCCGGTTTCATAGTTGTATTTTTCGGAAGCCAGAGGTTGCGCCAGAGAGAGAGCAAAACCTCGCACTGTACGCCAACGAGAGAAAACACCTCAATAGAGTACAGCAAAAATATGGCCTGTTGCTCGACAAAAACAACGAACAGCCAGCTAGCCTCTTACTAAGCAATACAGAAACTACCATCCAATGCGCCAAGCAGCGTATACCCCAACATGTCGAGCGCGCAAACGTCCGCGTGTCCGGTAAGGCTACACGATACGTGGACTGCACCGCCGTACCGTTGGCGAATAAATCTCTACTTTATTTAGCCTATACGTCCAGCAACACCGCTGCCTCACTCCTCCAAACAAAACAAAGCTACCAGAGTACTCACTCCTCCAAAAAAAACAACCAGAGTACACGTCGTACACGCTTGTGTTAGTCTTTCACTCTCCATCGCGTGCAAGAGGAGGCGAGAGAGGGGTATGTATACGGGATGAACTTCACAACACACTTTACTTTGCCTGTTGGCTACGACAAGAGAGGGGAGGTGGCGGAGAGGGGTGCGCTGCAAACACCCCCACCACTTTTCCTGCGCTCTTTTGAGCGGCAGCAGCATCCTCGTCACTGGGGACCAACACAGAGCACTGAAAAACACAGGGCGTCAGGAGCACTACAGCAACAGTGCGGCAAGAGAAAACGCCGCACGAGAGGGTCTTCAGGTGAAAAAAAACTCCTCTAAACTGGATGATACCTCCAGCAGCTGTGACCGGCCTCCCTGAAAGGAGATCGATACTCCCCCCCCTTCCAAATGTCGGCAGCGCTACACTACGATCAGCAGACAAGCCACAACCAAATCTAAATCCCTCGCCATACGTGAGCATTCCGGTGCGAACCAGCCGACGCGAGCGGAAACCGCTGCAATCCGGCTAGAATTTGCACAGCCGTCATCCGACGTGGATCCCGTACGTCAGGACGGTCCGGTTACCAAAGGGTGGTCGTTGTCTGGCCACGTGCCACTTGTGTAGGAAGTCACTATCCTATCGTTGGAGTACGTCCTCTTTGAAGTTGCGTCACGTCAATCATGCCTGGATTTTAGCCATTTGCTGGTCAATGTGTTGGATGCTGTCCATGAGGTCGGTCTGTGACGAGATCATCTTGAAAAAGCCCACCTGTTCACATTGCGTTGGCAACACGGCATTGGGCACAAACACACCGGACGCTTTCAACACAGCACAGACTACTCGAAATGTCTGTTTCGTCCTGACACAAACAATACAACCACGCACTGCATACATCAGCACCATCAGGCACAACCGTGAGCACATAGCTCGGATCCCCCACGTCTTACCGAATCTGAATCATGGAAAACCCGCGCTGATCACCCACGCTGTATGTGAAACAGTACAGAAAGCGCCCGCACTCATGAACTTGCCAATTAAGAAATCGATGTAGCCTCGAAAAGCTAAACATCAAAGACCTGAGCACCATTTGTGGGCTCGGTAAAGAACTCCTACACAAAAACCTATATAGCGGTGATTCGTAGCATGACCATTGGAACTATTGTCAGAAACTAAGCCGCGGCCAAAACTAGAGGTTCTTAATGTGCGGGTGCGTTCTGTAGCGTCAGCCACAACCTCCAGCACAAAACCACCCGTTAGCGTAATACTTTGTTTTCCGTCTCGGAACAGTGAAAGACGAGCAATAGGGAAGCTGTACGAATGTTCCACGGAGGAATCCAACTGCCATCCATCTGGCGTAAGGGACAACGATCTTGTGTGGCAACAATTTACTCCCGAAGCAGCGTGTGCCGGGTGAAACGTAGTTTCCGATACATCGCACCCACGGCGCTCGTCCATGGTATTTTCGTGAACGCTATCACTGCACTGGAACGGCTCTAAACTGAGGAGCGTGACAGATAACCCACCTCCATTTCTTCCATTACGATGTCCCCGGTGATGATGACCGTGTCGGTGGCCGACAGGACCTCCTCGACGTACCCCGTCATGACTCGCGAGACCATGTACGGGATAGAAGCGTCGAACTCCCGGTGTAGGTCCTAATGCAGCGAGAGCACAACCACAACGAGTGCACGGTTGGTGTTCAGCCAAGGTCTACCATGAGATCCAAAGGCAGCAAGAGCACAGCCAGTCACAAAGGTGGTCGGAGTCCGCGATAGAAAGGAGGGAGTTTATCATCATCTGGTTAACCAACAGACGCCCTCGACACGCCAGACGCATCGGTGTACGTTTTTCACAAGAAACACAACAAAAACAACAGCCAACACCGTTTGATATTGCAGGGCTAGTCGACAGAGGGGTGGGGGGGTTCCGACAATGTCGAGACAACAATACACGCGGCGAGGGAGTGCGTCATACATGGCCTCTTGAATGCTCGTTGCATTTGGGAGATGGACAGAAAGGGGAGGGGATTTGGAAATTAACCAGACAGAGGGTGGATGGAGCCGGCAGGCGTCAACTAAGTCCTCACCAGCAACACACGGATGAACACGGATGCTGAAATGACCTAACTCGAAGCAAACAAGAACATAAAAAAATTAGGGGCTTGGGAAGATAGACTATTCTGGATACTGCGTGGGGGTTGGGGGGGAGAGAGGCATTTCCTCAGAAGGGTTGGTTCCTCATATGCTAGGCATTAACAACGAATGCCTTCTTGCATCATCACGCCCGAACCTCTGGAGTAGAAAGAAATGCAGTAGCGGAATAAAGCTACTGGTGTAAATTGAGAACGGGTGCCAACAACCATGCCCGATCGGAAGCATGCTGCGCAATATTGCAGCAGAAGTTTCGTGTGCAGCAGCTCATAGCTCCCAGCTCTCAATCTGAAGATCCAGCTGACTGAAAATAGGTGTGTTTCAGGCCTTTCGTTTCGCCGAGGTGAAACGGTGTATGGTCCATCAAGCCAAATCGCGACTGGCACTAAAGAGATGCAAACGAGAATCACACACAAGGAAATTCGCACCCACCGATAAAACCCTCAACTCACCATGCGGAACGCAGTGCCATCGAACGACCACTTCCCCCTGACTTGAATAGGTATCGGGCCGTTCGTCTTGCCCGCTGTGACGGAGCCATCCTCGTTCAGCACGACGGAAGTTTCCGCTACGTCTCGGTCCTCCAGTTCCTCCAACTGCATACCGCGGCCGTGGTCCACGTACCACCGTTCGCCGTCACCGGGCAGAGGCAGAGAACCCACACAACAGGACGAAAAAGAAGAAATGACCGTGTTAGGACCACCGCTGCATCAAATGCTGGTTGTTGTTGTTGTTGTTGTTGTCGTTGTTGGTGGTGGTCTTGTCTTCACATGAAAAACGTTCTGTGCTCTGCGCTGTACCTTGCGACACCCGTACCGGTCGAGCTGACGCGCACGCCTTCCGTGGCCACAGGCCCCACAACCAAAATTGAACAACGGGGCTCATCATGCCCGTTGGCATCAACATCAAGCAAGACACACCGGACAAAACGGACGAAACGACCCCCAAGACTAGATCGCGGCCACGACATTTCCATCGAGGTTGATTGATGGGTCACAACAACATTGGAAGGCGTTCCGCATGCGTCGTGTTGTGCTCCTGTAACCCTCGCAGTCGCGACAAGCGCGTCGTCGAAAGATCACCACATGCGCTGGGCGTTTACAGCACTGATGCGTGCCCTCGGTATGTTTTTCTGCAACAGGCATCAATAGACATCATCACCCATCTGGGATGGGAATCTACTGCGCCGAAACACTTAAGAACCTCTGTGCTTGACCCCGAGAAATTGCTCCATATTTCCCCTGTAGGGCAACTATTTAGGTTTTCGTGTAGGATTTGTGGGATTCCTAGCTACCGCGGCATCGCTGTCGGCAGCACGTCATTGCTCCGGCAGACTCAGGTTGTCCCGGATGTCCTCAGGCGTGTACAGGCCGGGGGGACAACAGGAGCACGTGAGCTTGGAGTCGCCCCTCGCCGCCCGCTCTGGCTTGATTGAAAAAAAGGTCCTCGGCTCCGAACATTGTCTCTGATAACGGCGTCAATATCGGCTTCCCGACGCCAAGAAACGGGCGGCTAAAGTAGGTAGTTGAGGCCAGGAGACGATCATCCTGCGCTCGCTTCTCATCACGGGGAAGCACAGCAGGGCTTGCACCGATGGTGCCTCGCTGAGCGCACCGTACCTTTAACCACCACCGCTCTGTTGACACCAGGAAGTATGGACAGAGCTGTGGTTCAGGCTACGGTGAGCTCGCCAAGGCTTCATCAGCGCAAGCCATATCGTACTTCTCCCTCATGAGAAGCAAAAGAAAAGGACGATCTATTCCTGCCCTCAACTATCTAGTTCCCTTGTAGGTGCCGATGCTGACGAAAACAGCGACAATGTCGGGAGCCGGAGCCGAGGAGCTTTCTTTCAGTCAAAGCCAGAGCAGGCGACGGGCGGCGACTCCAAGCTCATGTACTCCGGCTACCTCCCCCTAAACTTGCCGGCCCTCTACACGCCCCGAGGTCCGTACACGCCCGAGGACATTTGGGACAATTTCCTGAATAGTAGAGGTCCCTGTGTAGTGCCCGTATGTGCGCAGAAACTTCACCAGCACTATACCGGAGCGGCACTAAAATCCCAACTATTCATGACTTGGAAATTCAGTGTGTGCCCGCCGAAACACCATACCGGCACGCACTACACCGGCAACCGGCACTATTCAACCAACCCGCACTAAACAGGGACCTACACTGGGAACCACATGCTGCCGACAGCACACAAGCAAGCGCACTAGATGACGGGACGCGGCCAGCCTTCGCGGTGTGTATGCATCGACTGAAGATCACTACACGGGTGTGTGAAGGGCAGGTCGTCCCAAAAGAGACTGAGAGCTGTTCGATAGAGGTGCACCGAAGAGGACATTCTCGAGGAGGGGAAGCTGGTGTCGACGTAGGGGCGGGAGCGGGGGGGGTCATGTGTTCAGGCGTACACTGGGGTGCCCATGTCTATCTAGGTCGCGGCTGGCGCGCATCGTGCTTTTTTTTTCTAACAGGGCGGGAGAGAGTGAGGGCGGGGGGGAGGGGAGGGAGGCGGGTGCTAGAAGTTACCACGATAGCCTCTGATTACTGTACAGCGAATCAGCGTACCGTTGAACCCGATCCCAACGTGTGAAGTGCGATGCGCTAGTGTGGACGACGGATGGATCTTGCGGGCACAAACGACGATAGCTCGGTATGGATTCTGTACGCATGTGTTCCCACGTTCGCACTGCTGTGGGTGCTAGATATGCATACATTGGTCTTTCCAACAAACGGAGTTCAACACCACATCGCTTCAAAATCCAACCCTTCCTTACACCTTCCACCTTGAACCCCCTACCAGAACACACGGGGCAAATATGGCGGTATCTACGATACACAACATGGCCACCGAATCGCTGTCTGTCTTGTTGTTAGCCTGTTACATGCGAAAAAAGGGGTGATGTCTGTTGCCGTATGCATACAGTTGTACAGCAGTTGGCGTCTGGAGATAAGAAAACGTAAATTTCGGGCCGAGCCTTGATTCGTCGCCACCGTTTAACCCAGGTAGTACCAAGTAGAGCTCAGAGTAGGATCCGCCGCTACAGCAGTGCTGTGCTCTTATTCTTAATTTTCCGTCAACAATTGAGTTTTTTCTTGAGGCAAGCTTGAGGTAGTTTTCTGAACAGCGGGCGCCAACTTGCTTCACGTTGCCCCCAAAGTAAAACACAGGGTGGCAACTAACATTGAACTCGTCACTTTTTTATTCTGGACTGCAACTGCTGTGGGTATCATGACCTTGCTCAGTTTCTGTGAAACAAGAATAACTAACAGCGCACTTTGCAAGAGAGTTGACCACCCGTGCGACCGTGGTATTTCTCGAACGGGTTCACTGCTGTATGTAGTTATTCTGCGGTTTTGTTTCGACTGTGTAAAAAAGAGCAGTCGATATCAACTTGAGTTTACATCGCCCCCGTGTTCCACAGGTCGGTGTTTCCACATGATGATGATCGATCATGATGTGACGTTTTAGTTCTTCAGGGATCACGGGATTACAGCAGACGGGAACAAGAAAAAAAAGACGTACGCATACATCGTATCATAGATAGACTACAACTGGTGTAGTCCCATCAGCTGCTGTTGCTCTATGCGAGTGCAGGCAAACACACACACACATACACGTTCGTCTTCTCCTGTAGAGCCAGTGTCCGAGGCTACAGCGGTGCCCACGAACTACGAACATCGTTTGTACGTACCTACTACAGCAGTTGCTGCGCTCGCCGTGTTCAATCACAAGTACGTTGTGCATGCATCGGGGTGCTCCGGAGGCGACCTTTTGAGACCTTAGAATACAACCGGCGAGAGAAAATGGTTGACACCTACAATTACAATGCAAACTCAATTTCCTGTGCTTGCATCCCGTCGCAACGCTAACCCTCCCCGACCCTGAACCATACACCACCGGTGTGATGCGAGGTCGGTGAACCGTTGATAAGTGCCGGGTTGGCGTGCGTCGGGTACATGCATGCTGGTTCTTCGGTTGCCGGCTTATCTGCCCAGCAGCCAAAAAGAGAAAAAAAAGAAAGAAAAGGGCTTTGATTGCTGACGTGTCCTCCGTCACAAAATACACCGAACATCGCATACATACTTCTCCGACCACATGCACGCTAGCCACACCTGAAACTCTCGCGTCTGCATGTCTGTGGATGTCAGGCCCGTAACCGTCTCCAATCCCATGCGCAGAGCCGTGCTCCGCGGCCTCCGGCTCGCGCCCGTCCACAACCATGAAGCTGCTGCTGATGTGCCTCGGTCCGGTACAGCCGATGGTGCTAACGCCCTACCGCTCCTGCTGCTGCTGCTGTCTGCCTTGCTCCCTCTTCGAGTCACCGCGGGGCGTACAGAGAAAGCTTCAAGTCTAGCGCTGAGCAGGAGCATCGCCAGCACTCCGATCATGCTTCTAGTCGGGAACATCGTTGCTGTGGACTGCCTGTGGTGTGTGCTGTGCGAAGGAAGAGAGGACGGAGGATCGGGTACCGAAGCAAGAGACAGCAGCTGGGGGCTCACCGAGATGTTCGCTTCTCTCCCGCGTGTTCTTTCATGTACACCAAAGCGTGCGCGTTGCACTCGTTCGAACGTCGCTGCCCAGGCATCATCAACAGCTTCACGCGCCGACGATAGTACGCGGTAAACACTAGAGTCGCCTTCCTCACCTGAACGTTCGTGTAAAGCAGTAGTAGTGCAACTGAGGTGACAAGAGGACGGGCGCGAGAAAGAAAATCGAGCGAGCCACGGCCCCCGGGGGGGGGGGGGGGGGGGGAAAACACCCCCC